CACACACACACACACACACACACACACACACACACACACAAACCGGGGTGGGGGGGGGGAGAAGACATAACAACTACAATTCCTTGAAGTTGATACGACAAGCATATAGAAAGGATATTGTTGGCAGGGGGAAATGGAGGAGGAAAGGAGGTATCCGTAATTGGCCACAATAATCAACCACATTGTATATCGACGACATAAAGTAAAATGTTTTCTTCAACCAATTCAAACTATACAATAAATTTTTGTTATAGTCACCCTACAGTGCTATAGAACACTAGATATTATTCCTCCTGTTTAGGTATAGTTTTGTATTTGCTAACCAACCTCTCAATATCCCCCTCTCCCCTACCCTTTCCAGGCTCTGTTATCCCCCATTCTGTTCTCTACTTCTATGTGATTGACTTTCTTAGCTCCCACATATGAGTGAGATCATGCAGTATTTCCCTTTCTGTGCCTGGGTTACTTCACTTAACATAATGTCCTCCAGGCTCATCCATGTTGCTGCAAGATTTCTTTCCTTTTTTATGGCTGAGCAGTATTCCACTATGTATATATACCACATTTTCTTTATCCAGTCATCTGCTGGTGGTCACTTAGCTTTATTACATATCTTTTCAATATACTGATTTTCTTTCCTTAGGATATATACTCAGTAATGGGATTGCTTGGATCTTATAGTAGTTTTATTTTTAGTTTTTTTTTTTTTTCCCTTACCTGGTTTGTGGGAAACCATTTCTAGTTTTTTGAGGAACCCCTAAAAATTTTTTTTTATAATGGTTGCAGTAACTTACATTCCCACCAAGTATATTCCCATTTCTCAACATCTTCACCAGAATTTGTTATTTATTTGTTTTCGAGAATATCTACTGTAACTGGAGTGAGATGATAGCTCATTGTGGTTTTGATTTGCATTTCCCTAATGACTGGTGACGTTGAGCATTTTTTCATACACTTGTTGGCAATTTGTATGTCCTCTTTTGAGAAATGTCTGTTCTGCTCTCATTTGCCCATTTTTTTTTTTTTTCCTTTTTTTGTCTTTTTTACTGACCGGTAACGGGATCGCAACCCTCGGTGTCGCGCCCGTACCGGGGACCAGCAATGGGATCGCAACCCTCGGTGTTGCGCCCGTACCGCGCTCAGCCAGTGAGCGGGAACCGGTCGCCACATGGGATCCGAACCCTCGGCGGGAGCGCCGCCACACTCCCAAGCGGCGCACTCTCCAGTGCGCCACCGGGCCGGCCCATCATTTGCCCATTTTTTATCAGATTGGTTTGCTATTTAGTTGTTTGAGTTCCTTATATATTCTGAAAATTAATCTCTTGTTGAATGCATAGTTTGCAGATGTTTTCTCCCATTCTGCAGGTTGTCTCTTCACTCTGTTGATTGTTTCCTTTACTGTGTGGAAGCAGTCATCCCATTTGTCAAGTCTTGCTTTTGGCCCACACCGCGCTCAGCCAGTGAGCGGGAACCGGTCGCCACATGGGATCCGAACCCTCGGCGGGAGCGCCGCCACACTCCCAAGCGGCGCACTCTCCAGTGCGCCACCGGGCCGGCCCATCATTTGCCCATTTTTTATCAGATTGGTTTGCTATTTAGTTGTTTGAGTTCCTTATATATTCTGAAAATTAATCTCTTGTTGAATGCATAGTTTGCAGATGTTTTCTCCCATTCTGCAGGTTGTCTCTTCACTCTGTTGATTGTTTCCTTTACTGTGTGGAAGCAGTCATCCCATTTGTCAAGTCTTGCTTTTGTTGCCTGTGCTTTTAAGGACCTCTTCAAAAAGCTTTTGTCCAGCCCAATGTCCTGAAGAGTTTCCCCTGTGTTTTCTTCTTGTAGTTTTATGGTTTTGGGTCTTACATTTAAGTCTTTAATTCTGTTTTGAGTTGATTTTTTTTATGGTGAGAGATAGGGGTCTAATTTCATCCCTCTGCATATGAATATCCAGTTTTCCCAGCACCATTTGTTGAAGAGGCTGTCCTTTCCCCAATGAATATTCTTGGTGCCCTTGTCAAAAATCTATTGGGTATAAATACATGGCTTTATTTCTGGGTTCTCTGTTCTGTTCCATTGATCTGCATGTCTGTTTTTTTGCCAGTGTCATGCTGTTTTGATTTGTAGTATATTTTGAAGTCAGGTATTGTAATACCTCTAACTTTGTTCTTTTTGTTCAGGATTGCTTTGTCTATTTGAGGTCTTTTGTGATTCCACACGAATTAAAAAAAAATTTTTTTATTTCTGTGAAGAATTTTTTGTTGTTTTGGCAGCTGGCTGGTGCACGGATCAAACCCTGGACCTTGGTATTATCAACACCATGCTCTTACCAACTGACCTAACCGGCCGCCCCATCATTGGATTGCATTGAATCTGTAGATTGCTTTTAATAGTATGGTCATTTTCACAACGTTAATTCTTCCAGTCCTCATCAGTGTTTTATAGTTTTCCTTGTAGAGATCTTTCACCTCCTTAGATAAATTAATTTCTGGGTATTTGGGGGGAGGAGTGAGTAGCTACTGTAAGTGGGATTGCTTTCTTGATTTCTTTTTCATCTTGCTCATTATTGGTGTACAAAAATGCTTCTGATTTTTGTATGTTGATTTTATATGCTGCAACTTTAGTGAATTTGTTTATCAGTTTTAAAAGGTTTCTTTTTGTGGGGCTTTTAGGCTTTTCTGTGTATAAGATCAGATTGTCCCTGTTTGCAGACAACATAACTTCCTTTATTCCAATTTGGATGCCCTTTATTTCTTTCTCTTGCCTAATTGTTCTGGCTAGGTGACTGCTGCTGCTTTTTCAATTATAGCTTTAACCTCACTTCATTCCTGCTGCCTTCTAGATAAAGTTTATTAAAATACCCAATAATAGAATTACCCTTGCTTACTCACAGCATCCAGTCAAGAGAAGCCCCTCTAAAATTCTCCCCAAATCACTCAACACAAGACAAAATACTATAATGGGGTCTTTCCAGCACCTTACTGAGATACACCTTAGGGTGTATTCTGCTTCATTGTAACCAGCCAATAAATCCAACTTTATCTATAGGTGTGTGTGTTCCTGGTGGTTTTTGACTGGAGAGTGTTGGCACAGATCATGCTATTTCATCTGTGCTTTTTTTTTTTTTCTTAGCCGGCTTTAAAACATTTTTTTTTTTTTTTTGGCAGAAATTGACAGGCTTATTCTAAAATGTATAGAGAAGTGCAAATGACTTTGTACAGCCAAAGCAATTTTATAAAAGAACAACATTTTGGAGGACTCGAACTATCTAATTTCAAGACTTAAGATCATCTCTGCTTTTTCTCATATTTGTTTGAAAAGCCCTTCTACTCTGTGCATTGAGATCACCCTTAACCTCAAATCTATTGTCATTTGATCTAGTTCCCAAGTATGGTCTGGGGTTAATGGTTGCCTAGGATATGGGGAGTGACCGTTAATGGTTACAGTGTTTTTGCCTTTTTCCTTTTCACTTTTCTGGGGAGTGGCTGGTGCAGGGATTGAACCTTGGGCTTGGTGTTATCGGCTCTACCCAACTGAACTAACTGGCTAGCCCTCTTTTTGAAGTTATGGAAATGTTGTAAAATTGATGGTAGTGATGGTTCCACAATTCTGTGAATATACTAAAAGTAATTGAACTGTACCCTTTAAAGTGGTGAATTGTATGGTATGTACAGTCGTCCCTCAGCATCCAAGGGGGATTGGTTCCTGACCACCCCCGCGTCCCCCGCGGATACCAATGCAAAATGGGACAGTACAGTATTTGCATATAACCTACACATATCCTCCGATATACTTTAAATCATAACAAGATTACTTATAATACCTAGAACAATGTAAATGCTAAGTAAATAGTTGTTATGCTGTGTTATTTTAAAATTTGTATTATTTTGTTTGTTTTTGGCGGCTGGTGGGTATGGGGATAACTACTTGACAGTTATTTCATATATGCTGAAAATAATAAAAATTCGTACGTGTCTTTTCCAGGTTTACATTTTCTAATGTCATTTATATACGTATTATTTTTTATTTGTATATTATAAACATATCAGTCCTCCAAAGACTGGAAAAAAAACCTTAATACTGGAGAAACACTTATTTAAAGGACCGTCACCTTCCACAGTTCAGTACGTACCGTCGTGCCCCGGAGCCTCTCGTTGAGGAACTACGTCCTCAGTGAGAGGTCGCGACGTCCATCCGACCTGGCCGCGTCGCCCCCTGGGATATGTAGTGTGGCAGGCTGCTGCCTTCCGCCCGGCACGCTGCTGTCGCCGGCACTTCTTCCTAGTTTGGGGGCAGACTCCCAAGAGAAAGGCGATGTCTCTCGAAAAGAGGCTAAAAACCCTGGGGTATGAGGGGTGAGCGAGACGACCGAGCCTGTCGCGTCCCTCGTTGCGGACCAGGAATACTCCTGACTTCAGAATCCTCCAGGAAAGTTGCCGCGCGTTGAGGGAGGAACTTGCTGGCAAGTCAGGGCCAGGTGGCGGAGGCGGGTTTTCTTTTCCTACCCAGCACGTCGTCATTCGGTGAACAGGATTGGGCTGAGGAACGGAGGCCTCCTTCCGAGGATTGGATTCTCTGGAGCGACGAGGACTGGGGCAGGGCGTGGGGAAGCGCGTTCACTCATCTGCCCGGCTCTCCTGCACTTCCGGCGCTGAGAGTGCCTTTCACGTGCACATCGTGTCACTGCTACCCTGCACCGCGCCTGTTCATAACCGGTACGTGTCTCTCGCAGTCCCAACGCCCCTTCTTTTAGTTAATGACCTCCCCAAGACTCAGCTGGGGAAGAGCTGAGGACTCGACAACTTTGTATTGTAACCATTGACCTGCCTACACTTTCAGTTGTGGATGCATTGTATCTGGAGGAAACCTTTGCTTTGTGCAGGGCTTTCCATGTAGGTGAGTGACTCAGGTCAGCTTGGGTCAGGATGCTGTTCTGATTGCAATAAAATAGCCAGTACTGTCGCTTGAACAGACAGCTTGGCATAGCCATAGAGAACCATAGATGCAACAACCACTTGTTGGTTTGTTGATGTAATGAGGCTGTAAAAGTGGAAAGAAGTGGTTTGTAGTGCCAGCTTCCCTAGTACTAGAGCAGTTTTGTTAACCTTTAGAACCTAGTTTTCATTATGTGTAAAATGGAAATGATGACATCTACCTGGAAGGTTAGTTGAGAGAATTTAATGAGATAATGTATTTAAAACATTCTTTATAAGTTGTAACATGTTGCAGAAGTGTTAGATGATAGGATTTTAGTCCCAGCTTTTCTAACCATTGCTTCTCAATTATTATTGCTATTATTTATTTTAACGTTTACTTGTACATGTTTGTGGGATACAGTGACATGCATATTCTGCACAATGATTCACTTACGGTAGGTAGCGTAGTTTTGTACCCGTTAGTCCACAACTTCATTGCTTCTCAATTACAGGTGTAAACGTTTATAATGTATTATTAAAGCAAATTATTCTTTTTCAAAATTATCTGTAGCTCTTATATTGCTTCAACATATTTTGAAACATTGCTTGATTTCTTAATATTTCTTTCAAATGGTAACTGGCTGGCCGGTTACTTAGTTGGTTAGAGCATGGTGTTGATAACACCAAAGTCCAGGGTTTGATCTCTATTGGCCACCACCAAATGAATGAATCGATGAATCATTGCTCTTTTTTACTTTTTATTTTTTTGGCGACTGTCTGGTACAGGGATAGAGACCCTTGATCTTATGGCTACTCTCTTTAGAAATTTTAAAGGTGATATGTTTATTTACTTCAAACAACTTTACTCTTATTTAAAAAGACAGTTCTGAGCTTGGGTTCTTTTTTTTTTTTCCTTTTGCTTTTATTGTCAATATGAAAACTATGTAAATGTCAGGCTTCAACATTTTTAAAATTGGGCACAGAAAGAAGCTCCTTTTTCTGGACATTTGGTTTGGATCAATTCCTGCTGTCTGGTTCAGAATAAGAAAGCCTCTAGTTAATGCAGAAAAAAACCCGTTACTTTAATTTGAGTTTTGGAATTAATTTGATATTAATGGTATAAGCATAACAATTTAAAACTAATTCCTTTACAGATGCTCCATGTTGGAATGGATTTAGAGTCATCAGAATGGAAACAAAATACATGACGGAAAAACAGTTATTTTTATACTGGCATATAGGGCCTAACTACTAGGAGCAGATGGTTTTCTTTACCCAGGAAAATTTGTGATGTAAATGAAAAGATATCTTTTTTCTAGAGTCATTGGTTACAAACATGCTTCGTCTAAGAGCCATTTGTCTGTTCTCCTGGAGAGTGTTTCAGTTTCGGCCCTTCAGCTGTGAACCATTAATTATCCAGATGAATAAATGTACAGATGAAGAGCAAATATTTGATCTTATTGAAAGAAACAAAGCCACACTTTCAGAAAAGCAAGTGGGATGTGCATTTAGTATACTTTGGCAATTTCAAAAGCAGAAGACCAGCTTGTTAAAAAATGTTAAGAGTGTTAGAGACCATCCCCAATTTCCTACTCTTCATAATTTAACTACAAATAAAGTCAAACTAATGAATGATGATACCCTGGTGAATGTGTTATACATCACACAAAAGTAAGTAATTTACTTTTAGATTTTATGGGAATGATGATAGTTTATGTTTTAACTTTCTGAAAATCTCTTTAAAATAAAAAGCAATGTGTTTTTTCTCCCACTAACTAGTTTTCCTGATAATCTAATATGGTATTTAAAGATGTTTGGAGGATATTCTTTTTTTTTATTTTTTTTTTTTAATTTTATTTTTTGTCTTTTTGTCTTTTTCCGTGTCCGGCAACGGATCTCAACCCTCAGTGTTGCCCCCGTACCGGACCGGGGACCGGCAACGGGATCGCAACCCTTGGTGTTGCTCCCGCGCCTCGCTCAGCCAGTGAGCGGGCACTGGTCCACATGTGGGATCCGAACCCTCGGGTGGGAGCGCCGCCGCGCTTCCCAAGCGGCGCACTATCCAGTGCGCCACCGGGCCAGCCCCTGGAGGATATTCTTTGATACCTATGCTGTTATTACAGTTTTTAAAATTAAATTATAATCAGTCATGAAAATAGACATGGTTAACTTTGGGTACATGAAACTTGATTATTGTACCGGTCTGTATGTGGGATCCGAACCCTCGGCGGGAGCGCCGCCGCGCTTCCCAAGCGGCGCACTATCCAGTGCGCCACCGGGCCAGCCCCTGGAGGATATTCTTTGATACCTATGCTGTTATTACAGTTTTTAAAATTAAATTATAATCAGTCATGAAAATAGACATGGTTAACTTTGGGTACATGAAACTTGATTATTGTGGAATATTGTAGAAATATGGTTGGCTAAATATACTGAGGATATAAAATATAAATGATTAGACCAGATGAATTCCTAATAACAATCAGCAATTAGTAAATTGTAAATTCGTTGACCTGTTTATAATCTCTTGGCTCTCATAATTAATGACACATATGTTTTCTAGGGGCTATTGGTACAATAGGTTGTTTTCTAATAGCTCTTAGAAAAAAAAAAAGAAAAGAAAAAGGAAATAGAACTATTTTTAGACTCCTTTATATTTGATAACAGTGTTTTATAAATTATATTCCATGGGTGATGGATTGACAAATGTTACATGGACAAAGGTTTCCTTGGTGTCAAAGGAAAACTCAGAAATAAAGTTGAGCATTAAGAATATAAATTTTACAGTGTTTGCAAGGAAATACAACTTTCATGAGAACTGGGTTCACTGAATAAAGGTTCAGCAAGTGTACAAGGGGAAAAAAACAAAAAAAGTACAATTAGTTTGTTTATTAATCTCACTGGTAGAAGAACAGTAGTTTTTCACATGATAATCCAGCCTTCCAAGGTTATTTAAGTAGCTGTTGATGTCAACATTACACAAGTCAGAGATGCAGTTGTTTTAATTAGGGAATCAGCATTCATAGGAAGGAACTTAAGGTTTTACTTATATTGGGGATTGATGTTAGACTGAAATAGATGATTCCTACTTTATTGGTGGTCTTTCTCAGGTTACAAGGTTTTTTCACAGGTACGTGAAGAGAATACTTAATGACTAAGGTGATTGGTGACTGTTGGCATATTTCTGTATTTTACAAAGTTCCTCTTATAAAAATATTTTTGTAATCAGAACAAAGTACTACATGTTACGTGTACTTTTAACATAAAATGTATTATTGAACATTTTTGTTGTTTGGTGGAAGGCATTGAAATGAACAGATAAAAGAGCGAGGCATGGGATAAAGTATAGATTTTTGTTAGGCTGTACAAAGACATTAGAATACAGAAATAAGGACTGCCTATATAAGAGCAAAATTACTTGAGATTCACTTTGCGTTGTAATTCTTACTGCATGGTTTTTTTTTCTTTTTTTTTTTTTTGGTGGCTGGCTGGTACTGCATGTGTTTTTAGTGATTTAAAAATGTTCGTGTATGGAGAGTTATTTTCTCTTGTTTTCATTGAGGTTTGCCGTTGAGGCCCATGACCCGCTAGTTCAAGCACTAGTTACAGAAGCATGGAGAAGACTGGAAAGGCAAGTACTCTGGATTTATCATCTAAGATCAGGGTTATCCTTTTCAGGGTTAGCACAGTGAAATCTTATAGAAGAAGAACACATAGCTGCTGCCTGCCTATCAAGCTTCATTGAAAAAAAAAATTTATTTAAACTCAATTTAGTTCAAGAGTTTTTTTTTTTCCTTTTTTTGTCTTTTTTCGTGACCGGCAATGGGATCGCAACCCTCGGTGTTGCCCCCACACCTCGCTCAGCCAGTGAGCGGGAACCGGTCTGTATGTGGGATCTGAACCCTCGGCAGGAGCGCTGCCGCGCTTCCCAAGCGGCGCACTGTAGCAGTGCACCACCGGGCCAGCCCCTAGTTCAAGAGTTTTTGATTGTGTAATATGTGTTCTTTCTTTAAGATAGAAAGATGTTTAAACATTTAAAGATGTTCCCTCTTTAAATAAGAGTGGGAACAGTGTGCTTTTTCACATATGTAATTAATCAAAATATAAATAAGGCCCAGTCACAACTATTCATGGACTAGCCTTTTAAAATCTTTTCTGGAAGAGTTCTGCTTTAGAAAGAAAAGATTCTCTGATTGGCTGTCAGTATACACGTAGAAGTTCAGGAGCTATAAAAGGAGAAAAGAGACACCAGTTTGATAGAAAGGAAAAGGGCCGGCCCGGTGGCTCACTAGGGAGAGTGCAGCGCTGGTAGCGCTGAGGCCACGGGTTTGGATCCTATATGGGGATGGCCGGTGTGCTCACTGGCTGAGCGTGGTGCGGACGACACTGAGCCGAGGGTTGTGATCCCCTTACTGGTCAGAAAAAAAAAAAAATAGAAAGGAAAGCCATATAGCATTCTTCAGGAGCATCTGTAGCTACTTGTCTGTCACCTCGTTTTTATGGACAGGCAATGACTAGAGCTTAAAGGTGACTTAGAAGCTTTTTAAAGAAAGTAAGTTTCAGATCCACTGCTGTGAACAATTCAGATCTGTTTCCTACACTATACACAGCTGTATTTTTAGCAAGTTGCCATAATTGATAATCATGTTGAAAAATGTGAAATCTGTTCAGGGTACTCTTCTTGTGAGTAGAGAAGTTTATTCTGTAAGTATATCTGGGAAGCTCTCTATAAAAGAGCTGAGGCAATAGCATAGATCATTTCGGGAAATCTTCAGCTATTTCTGAAAACTTTGAATTCTTTAACCTGAGAATTCTGGATGGCCAAGGTCCATTGTTAAGACAAATGTTAGTGAGGAAAGGGATAAAAATCAAGGTGGGGAAGAGACAGGAGGATTCTTTGTTTTTTTGCAGCTGGTTGGTATGGGGATCCGAACCTATGACCTTGGTGTTGTAAGGCTGTGCTCCAACTGACTGAGCTAACTTTAATCCCCAATAAATGGGGATTTTAAAAACTACAAAACAACTCTCTGTCTAAACCAAATAGGAAACTAAGCCAGAAAGGAAAGGATTGACTAAGATAAAGGAGAAACAACAGGCTATGTATTTGCAGATAGAGGAGCAGGCATTCCCATATTTTTTGTTTTTTGTTTTTTTAGCATATTGCTTCTTAAAGCTTAAACTATGATAAATTTTTACAATATAGACACATGTTGGTGAGCTCTTCAGGCCTTTTTTATATGGGCTGAATTAAGTTAAACAGGATAGAACAGTTCTCTGGATTTAGAAATTCTGCATTCATGAACTAAGTTATGATTTTAGTTAATCTCAATATCTCAACTCATCTGTCTTCTCATCCACTCTATTCTTGCATTTTCTCTACGTGCAGCTATCCTCATTGATGGTAAGCAGAGTACAGTAGTCCTCCATTATCTACTTGGGATATGTTCCAAGACACCCAGTGGATGCCTGAAACTGAATTTCTTTTTCCTTCTTCACAATTTCAGTAAAAGATTCATTCTTACTGTAGATTATAGCAACCTCAGCATATAATTTTTTTTTTAAGTCGAGAATTTTCACCTTTTCACTTAAAGGAAGAACTTTATGTTTTCTTTTTGGCATATCTGAATTGCGGGTATTACTACTCTTGAGCTGTGGGGCCATTATTAAATAAAATAAGGGTTACTTGAACACAAGCTCTACAATACTGCAACAGTTGATCTGATAACCTACATGGCTGCTAAGTGACTAATGGGTAGGGAGCCTCTACTGTGTGGATCCACTGGACAAAGGGAGTATTCACATCCAGGGCAGGATGGCGTGAGATTTCATCACACAACTCATAATGGTGCACGATTTAAAACTTATGAATTGTTTATTTCTGGAGCTTTCCTTTTAATATTTTGGACCATGGTTGACTGCAGGGTACTGAAACCGCAGAAAGCGAAACCTTAGATAAGGAGGGGACTACTGTAATTTTATTCCTTTCTCCAACAATAAAACTGTTTACTTACTAAATCTTTGGGGTTAAAATTGGTCATTGTTTATAATAGGTCAAAACATTTTATTTCTCTTCAAAGCAACATTAAGTGTTATGTGTATTTTGCAGCTTGAACAAATCAGTTGTAAAGTAGATGCTTTTTTTTGTTTGTTTTACTATAAGTTAAACAGCTAAATTACGAATGTACAATTGTACTTCCCAGTGAGTCAGACGTTTCTTTTTAATTTTTTTTAATTTTACAATAACTCAGAAGATAATCACTTTGTTTTATGTGTTTTCTTTTTTCTTTTTTTTTTTTTTTTTTGTCTTTTTCCGTGTCCGGCAACGGATCGCAACCCTCAGTGTCGCCCCCGTACCGGACTGGGGACCGGCAACGGGATCGCAACCCTCGGCGCTGCTCCCGCGCCTCGCTCAGCCAGTGAGCGGGAACCGGTCTGTATGTGGGATCCGAACCCTCGGACGGGAGCGCCGCCGCGCTTCCCAAGCGGCGCACTATCCAGTGCGCCACCGGGCCGGCCCTATGTGTTTTCTTTTTTACTTGTACTAGTACTTTTATTTTTTTTATAATTCTGTTATAAAAATTTTACTTGTACTAGTACTTTTATTTTTTTTATAATTCTGTTATAAAAAATTTAAAAACCTTATATCCCATATACAGAATTTTTAATGGGATCATAAAATAAACACTAAATTTTTTATTTTTTTGTCTTTGTGGCCTATGAGATTAAATTTTTGTTACTGTAATAGCTTTTAATCAATGATCTTGCTAAAACGTCTTATGAATTTATGCTATATAATTGATAATGGTTCAAATGGGATAGATTATTATGGATTAGTACTATATGCATGGATAATTAGCATGTATTTGAAATCCAAAAATTTTTTTTTTTTTTTTTATCTTTTTTACTGACCGGTAACGGGATCGCAACCCTTGGTGTCACGCCCGCACCGGGGACCGGCAACGGGATCGCAACCCTCAGTGTTACGCCCGCACTGCGCTCAACCAGTGTGCAGGAACCGGTCTCCACATGGGATCCGAACCCTCGGCGGGAGCGCCGCTGCACTCCCAGACGGCGCACTCTCCAGTGCGCCACCAGGCCGGCCCTGAAATCCAAAATTTTTTAAAAATCTTTTTATTATGGAAGATTTTAAACATTTACAAAAGCAGAGAGACTAGTATAATGAACTCCAAGATACCCATCATCCAGCTTCAACAATTTTCACCTTTCACTTCCTCCTGCCCTTCAGTATATTTTAAATAGTGATATTATTTTATCTATGAATACATCAGTTTGTATCTCTAAGAGATAAGGACTCTTTTAAAAATATATATAGCCATAATACCATTACTTATAAAAATGAATAATAATTCCTTAATATCACCTAATACCTGGTCTGTGTTTAGATTTCCTTGATTGTCCTGTAAAGGTCTTTTAAAAGATCTGTTCATTTTATTTTATTTATTTTATATATATGTTTTTTGGTGGCTGGCCAGTATAGTGACCGAACCCTAGACCTTGATGTTATCAGTACTGTGCTCTAACCAAATGAGCTATCTGGCCAGCCCTAAAAATTCTGTTTAAATCAGCATCCAAACAAGGTTTACACTTACTGTATCTCTGAAGTTTCTCCTTTTTGTTTTTAAAGTAAACATTTTATTGAAGAATAGTGTATAAAATTACACCAACCATAAGTGTACAGCATAATGAATGTTCGCATACTGATCACTTTACCAGCACCAAGATCAAGAAACAGCATCACTAGTTACCTAGAAGTTCCCTTCATATTCTCCTCCAGTCTCAGCCCCCCACCTCGAGGATCTTGACTTCTAACACCATAAATTAGTTTTGTTTTTATGGAAATGGAATCCTGTAGTATGTAATCTTATATCTAATTTAGTTCGCTCAATATGTTTTAAGGGTTCACCCATGACGTCGTATGATTCAGTGGTTTCTTCTTTTGTATTGCTGTGTTGTATTCTGTTGTATGGATATGTGCAATTATCAGTTGTACTTTATTTTGTTTTGTTTCTATCTTTTTTTTTCCTTTTATTTATGGACATTTGAATTATCTACTTTTTTGCTGTCACATATTATGCTGCTATGAACTTTTGTAAGCTTGTCTCTTAGTGAATTCAAAGTCTTTTAAAACCTATAACAATTCTCCTTCCTTCTTTTTTGTCTTGCCATTTACTTGTTGAAGAAATTGGGTTATTTTTCCTATAGAAAAATTCGGAAGTTTTTCATAGACTGTTGTAGTAGTGGTGGTTTTATTTGTTAATATGCAACCTTGAGTCAAAATTGTTCTGTCATGGGCTGAGCCTGTGGCGCACTCGGGAGAGTGCGGCGCTGGGAGCGCAGCAGCGCTCCCACTGCAGGTTTGGATCCTATATAGGGATGACCGGTGCACTCACAGCGCTCACTGGCTGAGCGCAGTGCGGCCGGTCTCAAAAAGGACAAAAAAAAAAAAAAAATTGTTCTGTCACCTCAAAAAAATTAATAAGTAAATAATTCAAATAATTTGGAGTGAGGGCTGTCCAGTTAGCTCACTTGGTTAGAGCGTGGTGCTGATAACACCGAGGTCAAGGGTTCAGGTCCCTGTACTGGCCAGCTGCCAGAGGGGGGAAAATTTTTTTGTTTGAGTGATTCTTCCTGTTTTAAATCTTTCCATAGTATCTGACTTTGAAACTGTTACCATTTGTTACTTTTATAATAATGATTAACATTTTAGAAAAATTTTCACTTTATGTTAAAATAAGTTCGTATTTTGATTGCTTTTTATTTTATAACTGTGTATAATGTGTGTTAAGTAAAAGCAAATACTGATTATCTCTTTTATATATTTCTTTTAATAGGTTTGACATTAACGTGCTGTCAGAATTTTCCTCTTGCCTAGAGGATCAGCATTTGCATTTTAGTCCATTGATGGGAAAGATAGCTGATATTGTAAATAGGAACTTGGGAACTATAAAGGACTTAAGGTAAATTTATTTAGGGACCTTATGGTGTGCTGGAAAGATCCTGGGCTTTAACTGTAGACACAGTTCGATTTGCCACTTACAGCTATGTGACTTGTGGCTAATTTACTCAACTTCTTAGAAGTTTACTATCCTCATTTATAAAACAGAAATAGTAATATCTACTTTGCAGTGTTGCTGTGGGGGTTAGAGATAAGGTATATAAAGTGTTCCACAGTATTTGTTGAGATCTGTGAAGGGTCTGAGATTTTACCTTACTTGCAAGTTAACAAGTTTGCCTGACGCTTTTTATAGGTACTAGAAGAAGACACGAGACTCCTAGGTCAGAGACGAAAGGCTTTGTTTCTCACAGCTATATCTATAGCCAGAGTACCAGCATTTTCTTGTGCTGGTTTCCTGAGCTCCAAGTCCCACTGTGGGCTGTGTCCCAGGAGAGGAACCTTGAGCTTAGGGAACCTGAATCTTTTATAACAGGTACTAAGTATGTCTAGTTTTTGCTTCAGAGGGAGACACCATCCCTATCCTCCTAAGCTGTTTGCTATACAACCATCCTTGAAAAGATAGTTCTGAACACAGGCAGTTGGTGCCTATGCTTGCAACACATGTAGAAACTCAAGAAACCTGTGGAGAATTGTCTTCCAATAAATGTCTAGAACACAGAAGTTTCTCAGTAATTGATAGGTGCCATTACTATTATTATTACATATTGAAGTAAACTCAAGAAGTATTTAAATTAAATATGAATTCACAAATTTTACATGCAATTATGCCTTATTCTTTCATTCTGGAAATACTTTTTTTTCCAGTTTCATAAAAGAGAGTTAATAATTATGTTAGCTGAATGTAAAGGAACTATTAAGTTGAAAGTAACATTTGAGGACTTTCTCTGGTTTTCAGTGGCTTGTGGGTTTCTTTTTATTATGATAAGATTACTTTTGTCAATGCTAACCTTCATAAACCACTACTATGATTGTCTTTGGTATTTCAGATATAGCTTTTCCTAGTCATTACTTTTTTTTTTTTTTCCTTTGTGTCTTTTTTCGTGACTGGCAACGGATCGCAACCCTCAGTGTCGCGCCCGTACCGGACCGGGACCGGCCACGGGATCGCAACCCTCGGTGTTGCTCCCGCCCCTCGCTCAGCCAGTGAGCGGCCGGTCTGTATGTGGGATCCGAACCCTCGGGGGGAGCACCACCGCACTTCCCAAGCGGCGCACTATAACAGTGCGCCACCGGGCCAGCCCTAGTCATTACTTTTGATTCACACTTAGGTAAAAGTGTAAGAATTTCCTGCCCTTCTTCCCCAACTCTAACCTACCTCCCAGCCTTCCCTTCTTTTTGATTAAAAACATTTTTTAAACACACCTAAGCTATCCTTTGGCTGCCAAAGATTTGCATCAGGGTTTTTATGTTTTTAATCATAAGCATTTGTGTGTGTGTGTATAAGATTTTTAACTTACTTGTTGGAGACAATCATAAGGTAAACATACTATGCAGGAAGATTGCTATTATGTTTTTAACTGAGACTTAATTTACAGTCAGTAAAATCATGAATCTTTAGGATACAGTTCCATTAATTTTGACAAATATTAAGGGTCCTGAAAAAGTTCATGGAAAGATTTTTATTATCTTTTAATTACATTTTTCCATGAACTAATTTTTTTTTTTGGCAGCTGGCTGGTACATTCCACAAACTTTTTGAAACACCCTTGTATATACCTTTATCAAGATAGGGAATATTTACATCATCTAAGTTCTCTCATGTTCCTTCTCAGTCAATTTTACCTACCTATCTATATTAGCAACTACTGGTTTGATTTCTTTCACCCTACAGAAGTTTTGCCTGTTCCGGAACTTTATGTAAATGGAATCATATAGTTTGCACTATTCTCTCTGGCTTCTTGCACTCAGCATAATGTTTTGAGATCTATCCGTGTTGTTGCATTGTATTAGTAGTTCATTTCTTTTTACTACTGAGTAGTATTCCATTGTATAACTATACCACAGTTTTTCTTCATCTGTAGATGGACACCTGGGCTATTTCTCATTTTTGGTTATTATGAATAAACTGCAATGAATATCCTAATACAAGTGTTTTTGTAGATATATATATTTATTTCTCTTGGGTAGATAGCTAGGTATGGAACTCTGGGTCATAGGATAGATGTATGATTTTAAGAGACTGCCACGTAATTTTTCATGTAGTCATACTGTTTTGCATTCCCACTAGTGGTGTGTGAGAGTTCCAGTTGTTCCATCCATATCTTGGCCAACATTTAATGTTATCAGTCTTAGCCATTCTAGTGGGAGTATTGTGGTTTTAATTTGTAATTTCCTCTTAACCAATGATGTTGAACACCTTTTCACATGCTTATGACCACTTATATATCTTCTTTTGTGAAACATCTGTTTAAGTCTTTTGTCTACTTTTAAGGATTAGGTTGTCTTATTACTAAGTTGAAGGAGTTCTCTATATATTTTGGATACAAAATCTTTGTCTGATACATATGTTGTGAATATTTTCACCAGTCTGGCTCTCTAATTCGTTTTCTTAATGGTATCATTTGCTAAGCAGAACTTTTAAATTTCTTCTTTTATGGGTAGTGCTTTCTGTGTCCTCTAAGAAATTTTTGCCTGCTCAGAAATCACAAAGATATTTTCCTATGTTTTCTTCTAGAAGCTTTATAGTTTAGCTTTTGTGTTTAAGTCTGTCATCTATTTCAAAATCATTTTTGTGTGGACACCTAGTTGTTCCAATACCATTTATTAAAAAGACTTTACTTTTCCTATTGAATTGCTTTGGTGCCCGTGTCTAAAACCATGTAACTGTAACGTTTATATCTCTTTATGGACTCTCTATTTTGTTAGTAAGTCTAGAAATTGGATAGTATAAGTTATCTAAATTGGCTCATCTTTTTCAATATCATTTAGGTTATTGTCAGCCCTTTGCAATACCTTATAAATTTTGGAATCAGCCGTCAGTTTACACAAAAACACCTGTTTTTATTTTGATGATGATTGAATTACATCTGTAGATTAGTTTGGGAACAGTTGTCATTTTATAATCAAGTCTTCCAATGTGTGGACATGGTAAACTCCATTTATTTAGGAAAGAGAGTTTTCAGTGTAGAGATCTTACATATCTCTCGTTTAATTTATTCCTAAATATTTTGTTTTGAGGTGCTATTGGAAATGGTATTTATTTTAAAAAAAGAAATACATTTTCCAATTGTTTTTCGCTAATATATAGAGACACAGTGGACTTTTGTATATTGACTTCGTATTCTGTGACAGTGCTAACTTCACGAATAGTGGGAATTTAACTATCTTGTTAGGCTGGTAAAAGGTATATTTTGAGCCTGGCTTTTTGTTATCCTACAGATAGCATTTTTTTGGTATCTGCTGTGGTTGGGTCATCTCTGATGTCATGAAATGCTGAAATTGAAGGAGAACCTAAGAAAACTGTTTAAAATACAACATTGCTGATAATGTCAGTAGAAGAATAAAGTCTTTATTACTAGTGGATGAGTAGAGTCAGTATAAGTTGAGAGTGAGAGCTGATTAAAGACTGGGAGGATATTTAGGGCAGATAAGTGGTAGCTTTGCATGCTGGGATGCGAATCTGAAATGAAAAAGGAAGCAATGATCTAGAGCTGAAAGAAGGGGAAATAATTGAATATAAATATCTGTTTCGCTTAATTACCAAACATCCTTCTAAGGTAAGTATTTATACCTTCATTTTATGCTTAAGAAACTAACGCTTTGTGAGGTTAAGTAAATTAAATGCCCAAGGTCTCTCAGCCAGTAAATGGGGGAGCCAAGATTTGAACCTAAGTTTTCTGATTCCAAAGAATCAGGAAATTATGAATGAATAGTTATTGACTTTTTCTTTTACTGTTTGTTCTTATGTGTTTGAAAATAAGAAAGTAAGTAACAAGTGTGTTGGCAAAGACGTAGAGAAATGAAGAAATATTAAATGCCACCTTATGTTTAGTACTGTCTCACTGTTGTATATTAATATCAACCTGTCAGGAAATACTAAAAATATGAAATCATTCACTAGTGAGAAATATTTTGCCAAGAAAGTCTACTTCCAAAAATACAAAATGAGACTTTTATTTTTTTATTTTTTATTTATTTATTTTTTCCTTTTTGTCTTTTTTCGTGTCTGGCAACGGATCGCAACCCTCAGTGTCGCGCCCGTACCGGACCGGGACCGGCAACGGGATCGCAAACCTCGGTGCTGCACCTGCACCTCGCTCAGCCAGTGAGCGGGAACCGGTCTGTATGTGGGATCCGAACCTTCGGCGGGAGCGCTGCCGCACTCCCAAGTGGCGCACTGTAGCAGTGCGCCACCGGGCCGGCCCTTTTATTACTATTATTGAGTTTTGGGAGTTCTTTGTATAATTCTGTATATAAGTCCTTTTTCAGATATGTGGTTTAAAAATATTTTCTTCCAGTCTATGGCTTGTGTTTTTATTCTTTTAATAATGTCTTTCAAGGAGCAGAAGTATCTGTCGTCAAATATTATATTGCTCAGTGCTGAGCGCTGCCGCGCTCCCAAGCGGCGCACTGTAGCAGTGCGCCACCAGGCCGGCCCCAAAATGAGACTTTTAATGTTACATTCATTAGCTATTGGTCCAAAGTGATTTCTGAGTAATTTCACTAAGATATTTTCCACCAAAGTAATTTTATCTACAAAACACTCAGTGAAAAATATTCTTTCAGTCTTTTTGTCTAAAAGGTTCAATTACTAGGAGATCTGAATTCAACTCCCACTAATATTTAAAAGAAAAATTTTGCGGTATAAAACTTATTATATTTTTACCAATTCCTTTCGATATCTAATCATTTAGTTTTAGAGTTGGTCATTATTCCTAAATGATGTAAAAATCTTTGCATCTTTTTCCTTTTTCAGGTCCTTGTCTGTCTTGATGGTCAACATATCTTCTTTAATATCACGACATTTTCAAGAACAATTAGTGAACAAAACAGAACTTCTTTTTGACACCATAGATTCTCCTGAGGTCAACACTGCAAGAAGAATAGTACAATTTCTTCAAAATATTAAATGTACTTATTATCCACTATTAGAAAAGTGTAATAAAGTGTTTTTAAGCAATGTGAGCCACCTTGATTTGGATTCCATCAGTAAAATTTTTGGTCTGTACCAGTTACTACAGTTTTATAGTTTTGAATTTATGACAGTGGCTAAAAAGAGACTAACTGAAATGATTCCTCTGATTGATCACCCTGCTAGCTTTGTAAAATTGTTTGTAGCTTTGGGACCCCTGGCAGGACCTGAAGAAAAGAAACAGTAAGTTCAGTTTAAAATGCTTTACTTTTCTTGTTGGAAATGTATAGACCCTTTAAGCTAAGGTCTTCTTGCAGCTCTTGAAGGTACAAAAATCACCCCATTAGACTGTAGAAGGGAAGATAATCTCTTATGCTCTGCTCCTTGATTCTTTTTCTGATTATTCTAATTTACATCAAACTTATAAGACTAACTGCTATTCTAAAAGGTGACCAATAAATTCCTGATGCTAGGCCAACACAGAAAAAGATGAGGGAGAATACCATTTAAATACTTTTATTCTCCCCTCTAGGCCATGTGACTAAATTTACACACAGGTTTAAGATTTTCTCTCCCAGCATAAGTGAATGGAATATTTAGAATTATGGTAGTCCTAACATAAGTATGATTAGTAGATTCAGTTAAGCAGGGGTTCCAGGAGTTGTATAATAAAGGAATCTGCTACATTACTCTGTTAGGGAGAACTTTATGGTTAATGTTTTATTTTTAAGAGTCCTTTGAATTATACACATGAAAAAATTTAAAGCTGCATCTTAGATTGTATCAAAATGGAAGCAAGATCATTATTTAAAAAAATTTTTATTGGAATCTTTTTTCTTTGTCAGCAAGTACTATTAAAATCTCACATGCTAAAGCAGTACAAAGTTGAATTTAACTGAATCCCTCCCTTCAAGGAAATTATATTCTAATAGGGAGGACAGAAATATATAATTGAAATATGTAAATGCTATAATATCACAATGCAGTTTATGACTAAGCACTAGAATTAGTGATATAGATAGTAAGTGGTGTGGGCAGACAGAAGTGAGAGAAAAATATAGACTGAAGTGGTTAGGAAAAGCTGGGTTTGATATATTTGGTAAGGTTGGTGAAAAGGCTGGTATGGAGCTATCCAGTGTGAGTAGAAAATGAGTTGATCCTGCTATCCTCAGATTTCATGTTTTGGGCTTGCCTTCTAAATTATTCTAAAAGAAACACATCTTGATACTTTCATTATTGCACCACTTTGAATAGTTTCAAAATGGACCATCTTTGTTAATTTCCAGTTTATGGTGTTTTAGCAAATGCTTGGTGTATAAAATTTCTGTTTACATGCAGGTATGTTGACTTCCTGGTTAGATCTTAATTCAATTTTAAGACATTGGGGTATTAGAATATCAATTGTTAGTTTCTTAGCTCTTTAGTACTGAATAATTTAGCTGAATCATAGTATTCTATAACCATTATAACCTTATTTGAAAATTATTAAAAGATCTTTTAACTGTATTATTTTAAGAAACAGTTTAAGATTGAATTTTACTGAGGCCTTAATTGCTCTGAAGAAAACTATATTTTTCTTTTTTTGGTAGTATATTATCTCTGAGTGTGTGGGGAGAAAATTAGAATTATTTATTGAATGCAAATTTTTTTCTTTTTAGGGGGCAGCTGGCCAGTACAGTGATCAAACCTTGGACCTTGGTGTTATCAGCACCATGCTCTAACCAACTGAGCTAACTGGCCAGCCCAAAATGCAGTTTTTGTTTATATATTTTTTTCTATTTGTTACCCAAGAACTGTTATATAAAACATTTTTTTTCAAGCTGATTTTAAATTTTTAACACAAAAATATTTTTATTTGCTTCTAGACTTAACTCAACTATATTACTGATGTCAGATGAGCTGAGCCGTCAGCAAGCCCTGGCAGTGGTGATAGCAATGGAAGAGATGGAAAGCAGAAATTCACATCTGATTAAAAGGTAGCCTTTCCTGAAATTCATGGTGTTAAGTTTAGTTGTCATTCATAAATAAGTATTTTTTTCCTGAGGAAAAAAAAGTTTTTTTTGTATAATCTAGCTGTTATTTTGAAGAAATAGGGAATTAACACTTAAAGGCATTGTTTATGTCCTAGTTTGTTTTTCACAATAGAGATGACAGAATTGTTTATAGCATCTTTTATTTCATTTGCTGCTGCTGTTATACTCAAGCAGAGCATCGTAATCTAGGAAAGTGGAGAGCATAGAGCAAGGACCCTGCTTTTCATCAGGACAGTTTCTGCATGACAGTATCTATATGAACTTCAGTTGTCTCACACCACAGTGTTACCTTGAAATCATACTGCTGTATATTGGCTTTTTTGGTAACTTGATTTTTTTTCTTAATCATTTTCATTGCTGTCATAACTTAATATTTAAGAAGAAAAAATATATAGTTCAAATTACATGTGCTTAATTTTTCATATTGTATGTTTCTTTATTTTAATATTCCTTCTGCCATGTTTCTTCCAACTTACTGCCTCTAAGTGTTTCCCATTACTTTTAAGCATCTCCATTTGAGAGATAGTGGGTTTAAGGAAGAGTTAAATATTTTGCTAATTGTTAGTAACTCTTTTTTTTGCGGCTGGCTTGTAGGTGGATCCAAACCCTTAACCTTAACGTTGGTGTTATAACACAATGCTACTAAGCTAACTGACCAGCCCTAATTGTTTACTTTCTATCATCATCTTGAGACAGTTTTTCAAGAACAGAAAACTTTGTCTCATTCATTGCTATTTCTCCAGCACAAAGTATCCGGCGTGAAAGCTCCACAGTAAATGTTTAATAAATAAATGAATGAACTGGTTATAATATATGTTTTATCATTCTTTTTAGAATTGCTTCTGTTCTGCATAAACATTTGGATAACTATAAACCAATAGAGTTACTGAGGATAACTCAAGCATTAACCTTTCTGCATTTTCAGAGTAAAGAGCTTTTTGTGAAACTCAAAGAATTATTGCTTAGGTAAGATTAAAATACAGGTGTTTGCTTAGTGTTTCATTTTGTAATCTAGCTGCAATATTTGTTTTGTTTAATTTTGTACAGAGTTGATGGAAGTTTTGGAGGCAAAATTGGGTAGCTTATTATTAAAAATGGTAAGATTCTTACCTCCCTCCATGCCCAGTGTGTCAGTGCCCATGCTTGGTATATTTTGAAGTGGAAATGAGGCCAGTAGTGTGATTAAGTTCCCTAAGGGAAGGATGGCAGTAAACTAATGAATAGTCAAGCCATTTTCTTTTCCTGCAGGAATAGAATCACCATCAAAAGGTTGGGTTGCTGAAGAAGGCAAAACTCCCATTTGGGAGTACTTGTATTGAGGGCTCTTCAGTAAAACTTGCCTGTTTTAGGGCATATTAAAGTTTTAAATTTGTAACTTTAAGAGTAAGATTTATAATAGTGATGTAAGTAAAAAGTAATTGAGATAGAAATTAAAAGAAATTTAAAGAAATTAAAATTACCTTCTTTTCTATGGATATAGCATTCATATTCCAACTAAGAAGTTATTAAGTTTTCCATTGACTTTCATTAGGCTAACATGGGGTTTTCCATTAAAATTTTTAATTTTAAAGATCAGAATAATGACTGGAATGATGTTCAAACCAGATTAATCTTTTTCTCTTTCATTTTTCACTACTGGTTTGATTTCTTATTGTGATTTCTGAAAGACCAAGCATGGGGCTCTAGTCCATAATCAAAAGATTGGCATATAGTTGAAGATGACTTTTATTATAATATAATATGCCGTTATGATTAAGAAGGATTTGGACTGAGGAATAAGAAATGATATTTTCTATCTACCCTAAGTGAATCATTATGCAGTATTGAAACAAAATACTGTGCCCCACGAATATGTACAAATAAATGTTAAAGTTAAAAAAAAAATGACATTTTATCAGATGAGATTTAGCACATTAGGTATGTTATAAGAAAGTTTACCCTTTTCTTGAAAAAATAACTTTCTTCTTACTTTTAGGATGATTATATACATGCTTATTGTTTCCTTACTTTTTCTATATTTAGTTTAAAATTTATCTTGTAAACATTTCCCCCCATCATTAAGAATTTTTTGTAAATCTTTTTTTGTTGTTGTTGGCTGACAGGTAAGGAGATCCACACCCTTGACTTTGGTGTTATCAGCACCATGCTCTGCCAAGTGAGCTAACTGGCCAGCACTATAAATCTTTTATAATGGCTGGATAATACTCATATGACTGTATCATAATTCGCTTAACAGTTCCCCATCAAGTATTTAGATTGTTTTCAAATTAGCCTTTTTTTTTTTTTGGCAGCCAGCTGGTATGGGGATCTGAACCAGTGACCTTGGTGTTATAACACTGTGCTTAGCCAACTGAGCCAGCCTTCCAGCCACATTTTAGCCATATTAAAAAATACAATGAATAGCACAAATCTGCCTGGATTTTAGATTATTTTCTTAGGTTTGTTTCCTAGATAGGAATTGACAATGTCAAATGATATAAGTACTTTTAAAGTTCTTAAGCCATACTGCTAAATTACTTTCAAAAATTGGTTACACCAACCTTTAAAGTTTACTAATAGTGGATGAGAATGCCTGTATTAATGTACCTTTGCTAGCATTGAGTATTATGATTATTTTGCTAGTGTTGAGTAAATTTAATATTTTAAAAGTAACACAATTTTGTTTTAATTTAGATTGGATTATTCTTTCCACTGCTTCTAAACCTAAAATTCTTTAAAAGCTCTCAGTCTTTTGTTTTTTTTTAACAATTGCTGTCCTGGTAGTGGGACACTTACCTCGCCATGAGAATTTGGAGTAGAGAATGGGGTCAATTATATTTTATTTTGTTGTTTTTTTGGGTTTTTTTAATGTTGGATTTTTTATATATCAGAAATGAGAAGGGAACCTATATTACTGAGTGATCACTGTATGCCAGGGCCTGTATTAGGTCATACTAGCTCCTGACAGGTCATATCAGAAATTGAACCCAAATTCTCCAGCAACAGTACTAGAAACATTGTTGGGACATTGACCTTTTGTTTGCCAGGTACTGTGATTTTACTTTTTCATAAAACAATTTGGAGTGTGTTTCAGAACATCTTAAGCTTCTCTTAGAAGCTGTCATATTTGAATTTATTTAATGCTTCTTAACTTGTATTTTAAGCCTATCTCACCTATTAATAATAATAATAATATTCTCATTTTAATACATATATATTTTATTTTTTGTTGCTGATGTATTAATTTCGTTCTTTTCAATTTTTCCCCTTCCTTCATAGTTATTTGAAAATTAGTGTCATACCAAGTGAGATTTCCATCCTGGTCTGTGCTATTTCCATGCTTCCTTCTCCTCACCTGGATGAAGTGGTGATATCCCGAACTGAAGCAGTTTTACCACAGTGTAACCTAAAGTACCTGAATAGTTTTGCCACATCTGTTTTACGATGGATTCAGTATGATCACATGTGTTTAGACAGTATTACTGGGAAACAACTGAAACTACTTCAAAAATTAGATTGCTATGGTCATCAGAGACTACAACAGAGCAACAATTTGGGTCTGTTATGGAAGGAACTTAAATCTTTAAAAGGAGACTGGATTCCTGAGTCACTTCTTGAAGAGACAATTTATGCTTTACAGCGTTTGATGGATGAAATTAATTACATAAATGTTGCGGAAATTGCATCTTTCATTTCTAGAACTAACTACCTCAGTACTTTGCTACTTGATAGAATAGCCTCAGTGGTTGTTCAGCAGATTGAAAAGGTGAAATTTAAAATTAAAAACATTAGTTTCATATAGCTGTCAACTTATAGAAGTATAATTTTTATCATAAGTACTTTGAGAACTTGGATTGGAATTTGAAGTTTAATAATTAATGCTGGTTTTCTCTGGTTCAGCAATTTGTTATTCCTCTCCTTACAGCTGCTTTCTTTTTCTAGCATTGCAGACCTGGGGGAGATCAGCAGTCATCCTTTGGTTCATTACAATATTGTTAAGATCAGTAGTTAGAATTCTTTGACTAGAAGGAAATACTTAAAATGATACTAGTTATATTAGGATAGTATAGATAATTTTTGTTTTTCCTTTTTCTTATTTTCTATTATCCTGTGGTATTACTTTTACTGCTTAAAAACAATTACATTCAAAAGTGGGAGATAAGCGTGAAAATGGAGAAAATTATAAGGTATCCACTGACATCAGTATTTTTAAATTGTCAGTGCATCTTTTTACAGGTTTATTTCTGGAACTTGTAAAATGTTGCTTTATGGATTATGTGAGAAGAAGCTCACTTACAACATTACTGGTGTATATATGTCAGGATAAGGCCTTTATTTAGAAGATAGTAATTTCTCACAAATGAAAACAAAAGTCTGTCTTATTTGCCTAGTATAGTGCTGTCAATTATTAAGTATTGGATGAATGAGCGAATAATGGGGGGAGAAAAAGAATGAAATAAAAATAAATGCTGATGATTATAAATTAAGAAACTTCTTTAATTACATTATATGATGATTCTATAAAATGCACTGATATTATAGAAATTAGTGATACCGTTTCCTATTCATTTTAATGACTAATGAATTCTGTAACAGGATTTTACACCTAACAAAATTAATTTGTAGATTATCCAATTTATTTCTTCTGCATTAACACTTCAAAAGTCACTAATAATTAGTGGTGGGGTTAAATAAATTATAGCAGGATGGAAAAATTAATAAGTAGAGTGATACATGTTAGAAAAAGGCATCACCTAAAATAATAATGAGGTTGAAACTATGTTTCATTTACTGAAGTTTAAACTATACAGTTTTTGTTCTGTTTATACAGATCCATCCTTTTGCAATCCCTGCTATTATCCTTCCATTTAGCATCTTGAACTATGATCCACCTCAAAGGGATGAATTTTTTGGAACTTGCATGCAACACCTTAATTCTTACTTAGGTAGGTATGTTGCTTGGTAATACATTGAATGAGGAGGTCAGAGAATACCTGCTGAGCTTAGTGATGTCCGACATTTAAAGGGTATCCATAATAGCCATGAATTTTGTACATTAAAAAAAAAAAGTTCTGTATCCATTTTTGAAACTTTTTATTATGAAAAAATGTCAAACTTAGAAATTGAAGGAATCGAACAGGGGACACCTATATAACTCATTGGCTAGATTCAGTAATGTTAACATTTTATCTTATTTGTTTTATATGTTTGTCTCTCTTGCTCTTATTTTTTTCTGAACTATTTCAAGATAAATTGTAAGCATTGTGACTCTTCACCCCTAATTACTTTAGCTTATACCTCCTAAGAATAATGACATTCTCCTGTATCACCACAATGCTGTTAGCACATCTAAGAAACTTAATAATCTCATGACATCTAATACATTGCCCATATTTAAATCTCCCTAATTTTTCCCAAAATACCTTTTTAGAGTATTTATTTTGGACCCAGGTTTACTTGTGTTTGGCTGTTATTTTTTTAGTTGTGTTTGGTTGTTAATTTTTAGTTTCTTATACTCTAGAATATTTTTTCTCTCTCTCTTTTTTTCCCTATCTTTTTGTTATAAAGGTTTTCAAATATAAGGAAAAATTGAAAGGACACCATAACAAACATCTGTATACTGTATACCCACAATCTAGCTTGAATAATAATTATCATTTGCCACATTTGCTCTGTGTGTGCTCATGAGTGCCTGTGTGTATGATGAACTTTTGAATTGTCAGCTCTGTATACTTCAGGTTATAAGGTCATTCTCCTATAGAACCACAGTTCTGATACTATACCTGAGAAAATGAACAAGTATCATCTATTACCTAGTTCATAATCAAATTTCCCCAGTTGTCAGCAAATTTGTCTTTTATAACTTTTTTTAAAACAACCACCATTGAGTGGTTATGTCATTTTCCCTCATCTTTTTTTTTCTTGATATTTATTTTTTATGAAGAGATTGGCCATTTATTAGTTTTTTAAAAAGAGACTGTCTCTAGATTTGTCTCATTGGTTTCTTTTTTTTTTTTTTTAAAGACGACTGGTAAGGGGATCTTAACCCTTGACTTGGTGTTGTCAGCACCACGCTCACCCAGTGAGCTAACCGGCCATCCCTATATGGGATCCGAACCTGTGACCTTGGTGTTATCAGCACCACACTCTCCCGAGAGAGCCACAGGCCGGCCCCTCATTGGTTTCTATTAACTTGCTCCTCCATCCACTGTATTTCTCATAAACTAGAAGTTAGGTATATATAATTGATTCTGTTCAGATTAAACATTTTCAGCAAAAATAACTTGTATGTGGTGCTGTGTACCTTACATTTATATCACATCTTGAGGCATGTAATATCTGATTGTTTTTGTCAGTTTTAGTTGTTTTTTTTTTTAAAGTAAACAAATGTTTTTTTAAAGGCCTTAATAGATGTTTATGAATTGTTTGAAGGTTTGTTGCTCTGGTGTGGATTATTTTGTGTCTCGTAAAAAAGTCTTTGTATTTTGTTTCAGTACTGGAAAAAAAGTGGAATAGAAATAGTCCTTTCTCCTGTTTGCCTTAGCAGAAGCAGTATGTGAAGACAGCAGAGACAGAAAATTATGTTTCCTTTTTCTTTTTTGTTCTTTATTTTGGGTCTTGAATTATGTGGGGGGGGGGCAGTTTGACTTTCAAGGTATAGGGCTTTATGGGACATTTCTTCTCAAACCCATACCACTTGTCAGAATGATGTGGAAGTTTTAGAAGTGAAATATCTGGCTCAGTAGTTACTGCCTTTTCAGTCAACATTCACTGTGTGCTTATTGTCAGGTATTCTTGGCACTGGAGATACAGGAGAGAGTAAAAAACAGATACACTACAGTCAATGAGTTTACTTCCTGGCAGAGGGAGATTGGCATAAACAATAGATCTAGAAGGTCAGGTGGTGATAAATACTCTCAAGAACATTAGACCTGGGTAAGTGTATAGAGTGGAGCATAGTGGGGTGGGGTGGAGTGCTATTTTATATACAGGATTCAAGGACTGCCTCTCTAAGGAGATGTCATTTAGCCATGGACTAAAGGAAGTGAGTGAGTGAGCCATTTGATAGGTGGAGAAGAGAGTCTCAGGATGAAAGAAAGGCAAGTACAAAAGGCCCTGAGGTGACAGCATGCTCAATTTCTTCCAGGAACAGCAGATTCAGTGTGGCAGGAGTGGAGTAAGGGAGATTGAGTTGGTTGGAGGTGCAGTGGAAGACAGGCAGACACTAGTTTCCTTGAAGCTTTTTGCCATGCCTGGAGAGTAAGATTTACCTAGTCAGTCAGTTGACCAAGCAACAGATGCTTACTGAGAGCTTCCACATCCGGTATAAGATGTTAGGCTCTAAATTAGGGTCTATTTGTATAGACTTGTAGACCTCTGGTTAAGCTGTGTGAAACCAGTATAAATACCTTAATTATATCACTATCATGCTGATGGACTTTGCTACATTTTTGTGGGATCTATAGGCCAGATAGTGTTTAACCATGTCTGATACTACTGTGTCTGCTAATAGACAAGTAAAATGTGGCTATGGTATGTATATACTTATATGGATGTATGCATGTGTGACATCTAATTATAACCCTTTTTAGTAACACAATTGAATATAGAAAGAAGAGACTTGAAACTGAGGCTTAGTGTGTTCTCTTGGTTGTTCAGTCATGTGTCAACAATGAGAGGGAAGTACGGGTACATGTCTTCCTATATGCTCCAAATAGAGACTTAGAAATTAAAACTTTTTCTTTTTCTTTCTTTCTTTTTTTTTTTTTAACTAAAGGGTATAGGAGAAGAAAGATTGAGAAGTACAGCTTTGATTTTTTTTTTTAAAGACTTAATGAGAGAATGTTTGGAAAATTCTTAGAGACTTTCATAAGTAAAATTTTAAATAATGGAGTAATAATTTTCTTTGTATTAGATAAAGATAAGTTTTAACAAATCAATTTTGCTGGTCTCCTTTTTTACATACTCCCCTGTTTTTGTTTTGAACTTTTTCTCTTTTCAAGGCAATTTTTAAAACTTTTTATTAAAGTATAATAATAACAGAAACATTCATATAAGCTTACTATAATAGTGTGAATTTTTACAAATTGAATCATCCAGTGAATTAGTACCCAAATCAAGAAACAGAATTTTACTACTATATCCTCCTGTCCCCCTTTTCTATTCCCCCTCTCCCACACTATCCTGACTTGTGACAATATATATTAGTTTTGTCAAGGCTTTCTTAGTATCATTTTTTTAAAAACCTGGCTTTACCTGATTATATGTTTATGTATATGTGAGGCAGCTGTTCATTATAATATTTTTAAAATTTTTAATTCTCTTTTAGATATATTGGATCCTCTCATGTTAGTATTTCTTGGTTTCTCTTTGGCCACACTTGAATATTTTCCAGAAGATGTGCTAAAGGCAATTTTTAACATCAAATTCTTAGCCAGATTGGATTCTCAGCTTGAAAGTATGTACCTACATTTTAATTTAGTATTATTTTTACTGTATATCCAAGTTTCAACTCTACATATACTGAAGCATTTAAATATTAATAACGCTTTTTTCTGTTTATAGAAGTATCTCATATTATCGTAGAAAATATGGAAAACACGTAAAGTATAATATAGAAAAAAAAAATTTCCCATAATCTTATCACCAAGTGAAACTTCCACTTTTAATGTTTGGGGGTATTTCTTTTCTTTCTCCTGCCCTGATATGTATATTTAGATATCTATTTGTATTGTAAAACAAAATTTGGATTATTTATATATTCACTTTCGTATGCTGTCTTTTTTCATCTAATTATATTTTGAATAATTTTACATGCCATTAAATATTTTTTGGTTGGCTACAAAATACGTCATTTTATGGATATAATAAAATTTATAGGTTGTTTCCAATTCCTCATTATTATAGATAATGAATTATTATACATGAATCATTGATTGTTTCCAAATGTGGAATATTAGGTCAATAAAAATTCTTGGTAGCATTTTTAAAAATGTACTTTTAACATTCATAATTAATGAAAACAATGTAGCATTTGGTCCTAATCATGCCACTGAATATAATAACTTAAAAATATATGCAGAAAGAAAATGTGGTATACACACACACACACACACACAGGAATACTACTTAGCCGTAAAAAAGAATGAAATTCTGCCATTCGCAGCAACATGGATGAGCTTGGAGAAAATTATAAGTGAAATAAGCTAGGCATAGAATGAGAAACACCACATGTTCTCACTCAAAAAGAGTTGATTTCATAGAAATAGAGAGTAGAATAATAGTTACTAGAGACTAGTAAGGGGAGTGGAGGTGAGGAGAGGGTGGTCAGTGGACACAAAATCGTAGACAGGAAGAATGGGATCTAGTGTTCTGTAGCAATATAGGGAGACTGCAGTCAATAAAGTACTGTGTATCTTTGAGTAGCTACTCAATATGATGTTGAATGTTCCCATCACAAAGAGGTGACAATTGTTTGAGGTGATGGAGGTACTAAGCACCCTGATATGATCATTGCATACAGTATGAATGTACCCAAATACCATATTTTACTCCTTAAATATGTATAATTAATATGGGTCAATTAAGAAAAAAAGAAAAAGAAAAGAGAAATAGATAATAGAATAGTGGTTACCAGAGGCAGGAGGAGGGAGGGGGAGATGAGAAAATGTCGGTAGACTGGTACACAGTTACAAAGTTACAGTTAGATAGGAAGATTAAGTTCTGGTGCTCTAGTGTGACAATAGGTAATAATATTGTACTCTATATTTCAAGATAGCCAGAAAAGAGTATCTTGAATATTATAACCACAAAGAAATTATAAATGTTTATGTGATATGCTAAATATTCTGATTGGATCATTAGACAATATATGCATGTATGGAAACAACAAACTGTACCCCATAAACATGTACAATGAAAAAAAAATACACATATAAAGGATGTATGTGCAAATGAAGTGATTTTATATGAGAATAAAAGTATCAACCAATAGTGGGGATAAATGAATGTGAAATAAATGGGTTGTCTTTGCCAGGTCTAAGCTATCAAAATCCATTAGTATTTTATTTTTAATTTCAGTTTTATGTTCATCTCTAAGTAGAAGGGTCCAGTTTCGTCTTATGGAGTTAAATAGAGCAGTCTGTTTGGAATGCCCTGAGTTTCAGATTCCATGGTTTCATGACCGCTTCTGTCAACAACAGTATAATAAAGGTTTGAGTTTTCTTTTGGTCAAATAGTGAAATTTAATTCTAAAGTAAATTATTAGGTAGGACTTTGTTGTTATTGTTAAACATGACACCAGAGTTCACAAGAGTGCAGTGACCTGTTTAATTTTTTAGGTGAGATTTTGTAGATGAAATTTGTGTTATAACAATTTTTCATATTTAGGACACTAAACCTCTTTTGGTTGAGAGCAAAGAACTTGTACTGAATTTAGTGTCATTATATATATAGTATTACATTGAAGCTCTTATTGGAAATATTAATCTTTACTTTTCATTTTGTAGAATTGGGATGATTTTTATTCAAAAACTAACTTAAGTGGACTATTTTTACTTTTGTAAAGATATTGGCAGCATGAATGGAGCACAACAACAGATTTGTAAAATGTTAGCAGAAGTACTAGGAGGAATCAATTGTGTAAAAGCCTTGATTCTTACACCATATTACCACACAGTAGGTAAGTCATTGGTTGGTTATTAGCTACTTTCAGAAGACCAAACTAATTTGAATAGAATCATTCATTAGCTGGAATTTTAAAAAGTTATTTTGAATTTTTTTCAAGTTGTTATTGTGAAAATTTCCAAACAGACAAAAAGCAAAAAGAACAATACAGTAAATCCTCAAGTTCCCATGGCCAAGCTTTGATAACCATCAGCATTTTGCTGTTCTTCAGAAAAAAAAATTTTTTTAAGGTCAGTCTTTCACCAATTCTAAGTAAAGCCCAGATTTAGAGTCATTGAACATTTTTGGATCTTCAAAAAATCCTGTCTTTTCCACTCAGAGTGCTAAAGTCATGTAAAAGACTTCTTACCTTAATTTCATTGTTTTAAATTCAACTCAAAAACGAAGTTGGGTCACGAACCTGGTCCAAGATTTCCAGAGGTATTATGCTCTACTGTAACCTGATTAATCTTGATTCTCAGGTGGTCTAGTTGTTGAAGGCATTCTGTTTGAATTATGGATGGCTTATAAAGCTAAGGTCTAGCTTATGTTAGATGGCAAAATAAGATTCAAAAAGATATTGCCAAATTCAAGTGGTGGGCTTAAATAAAAGAGTTTTAAGAAAATTAACAAACCTTCTAAATTTAGATTTAGAAAACATCTGCATACATATGGGATACTTTAAAGAATTATAAGCTTGATATATATTAACAATGTAAATGGTTGCTGAAAATCAAATGCTGTTTTAAACTATATTATTAATAATAACAAGAAAGTCGGTAGTCCTCCAGACATACCTTAGTACAGATGCTCATCAACTTACGATGGGTTTATCCAGATGTATTCAATGTATATTGCTTTCATACTGTTGTGAAGTTGAAAAATTAAGTTGAATCATTGTAAGCTGGGGACTGTCTGTATTGAGTTCTTCATTTTGCATGTTGCCCTATATGAGAGACAAATAGGGTCCAGAAACAAAGGAGGACAGTGGTGAAGGATCTAGAAATTATGTCTTAGAAAGAAAATAGGACTACAACTGGATGGATTTCGATCCTTGAGCAAGTTCCTCTGAGCCTTATTAATTTCTTCATTTGTAAAATGAGGATAATAATAGGATTAACTGAGATATTGCATGTAAAGCATTTAGCGTTACCCTTGGAGCACAGTAAGTACCCAATAAATTTTATTTGGAAAAATAAGATGTTTAGTCCAAAAAGTAGAAGTCTTATGGAGAGCATAAATGTTTAAAAGTGTTTGAAGTATTGTTATATGGAAGAAGAACCAGATAGTTTTATCAAGGATAAAAAAAGGGTTAAAATTAAAGGAAGGTGGGCCGGCCCCGTGGTGTACTCGGGAGAGTGCGGCGCTGGGAGCGCAGTGATGCTCCCACCGTGGGTTCAGATCCTACATAGGAATGGCCGGTACGCTCACTGGCTGTGGGCGGTGCTGGCAACACCAAGCCAAGGGTTGTGATTCCCTTACCGGTCACGAAAAAGACAAAAAAAAAAAAAAAAAAATTAAAGGAAGGAAACTTTAACTCAATAAAAGGAGAATTATGGTCTGCTTTGCAAAGAAGTAATGTTTGAGCAGAGTCTGGATTATCACATGATGGTGTTTGTATGCAATTTCTGCACTGAGTAGAATGCTAAATCTGAACATCATTAATACTCTCATCTTGTACTACAAAACACATACTCTCCTCTGTTTGGTTTTATATCAGTCAGGATTAGGTGTGGCTATGAGTGACAAAATCCACAAATAACAGGAACTTAAGTTACAAGTTTATTTCCTTCTCCCATACACACAGAGAGTCCAGGGTTGGGATGCCAGCTCCACAAAATTGCAGATTTAGGATCCGTCCACTTCATGGTCCAAGATGGCTGCTCCAACTTCAGCCTCTTAACTACATACAGTCCAAGCAGAAAAAGGAGGGAATGAAAAGGAAGGGATATGCCCTTCAAGCACTGTTCCCCAAAGTTGGACACATCATTTTTAATTATACCCATGGCCACATTTGGCTGCAAAAAAGTTTAGAAATGTAGTTTTTATTCTGGAGTGGCCACGTATCCAGCTAAGATTTAGGGACTCTGTTATTATTGAAAATGAAGGGAAGAATGGGTTGGGGAACAACTTGTAGTCTCTACCAGAGGGTTGTTTTAAGAGATAGATATTATGTTTATTATAAAAGCAATGCTCACAGAAATGAGTGCACTAAAATATGAATATGAAAGTGATCTGTTATCCCATCTCACAGAGGATTTTAAAACAGTTTAAAATTATGAGCACTAATTTTGTGACAGGCACTATTCATAGTATCTCATTTCATTCTTTTTGTTTGTTTTGTTAATGCTTTTTTTCAAACTAGGAATAATACATATTTATTATAAAACATTTGGAAAATACAGAAAAGTAAAAAGAAGTGAAATGTAACTTATAATAACCTGTCCCAAAGTGTCACACATGTAATTAGTACTTAAACTACTACTGCACCTAAGCACATTGAATTTCCAATTCTTATTTGTAACTCCCATTGTTAAAAGGCTTTTTTTAAATGTGAAAATGTATATAAATCATTAAAAATAAGATTTAATTGATAATGTTTGTATATAAGGATATGGTTTGATTAAGACAATATATAGTATGATTAAGAACTATGGGTTGGGGCCGGCCCGGTGGCGCACTGCTACAGTGCGCCGCTTGTGAGTGCGGCGGCGCTCCCGCCGAGGGTTCGGATCCCACATGCAGACCGGTTCCCGCTCACTGGCTGAGCGAGGTGCGGGAGCAACACTGAGGGTTGCGATCCCGTTGCCGGTCCTGGTCCGGTACGGGCGCGACACTGAGGGTTGCGATCCGTTGCCGGACACGAAAAAAGACAAAAGAGGCAAAAAAAAAAAAAAGAACTATGGGTTGGAAGCAATGCTTAAGTTATAAAAAAAATCAACTTAAAAAAATGACATGAGGTCCGGCCTGTGGCTCACTTGGGAGAGTGTGGTGCTGATAACACCAAGGCCATGGGTTCGGATCCCTATATACGGATGGCTGGTTAGCTCACTTGGGAGAGCGTGGTGCTGACAACACCAAGTCAAAGGTTAAGATCCCCTTACCGATCATCTTTAAAAAAAAAAAATTACATGATACATCCTTAGTATAGAAAAACCATAAGTGGCAGATAACCAAAAAGAAAAAAATTACCCATGATATAGCTGCTGTTTACTTTGGGGTCTGTTTTTCTATTTCAAAATGACTTTTTAAAAAACAAAAAAGGTTTATTCTGTAGTGTTTGTGTCTTAGTCTGTTGCTGCTGCTATAACAGAATACCTCAGACTGGGTAATTTATAAATAGCATAAATTTATCTCTCAGAGTTCTGGAGGCTGGGAAGTCCAGGGTCAAGGTGCCAGCAGGTTTGGTGTCTGGTCAGTGCCTAGTCTCTGCCTCTAAGATGGCACCTTGAATGCTGTGTCCTCACATGGAGGAAGGGACAAAAGGGCAAAAAAAGGGCTTAGGACACTCCCTTCAACCTCTTTTATAAAGTCACTAATCCCGTTAATGAGGGCTCCACCCTAATGACTCAATCAATAAAAGGTTCTATCATTTAATACTATCACATTGGCAATTAAGTTTCAATATATTAATTTGGGGGGACATATTGAGATAATAGCAGTTTGTAACTTTATATGTTGTATTTTTCTATGCCAACAGATCCACTTATACAACATCATTTTTAGTGACTGCATATTTCATTGAATAAAATGATTTAATCAGTCCATAAGGTTTTTGCTTGTATGTACATCTGTCAAACAATGCTGCAATTTCATATAATGACAATGATGGATACACTTATATATTGCTTATTATGTGTTAGACCCTGCTATAAGTGCTATATATATATATACACACACACCCATATAATAAGCTTATTTATTATATCCCTAAGAGGTATGTAAATTATTCTGTTTTACAGATGAGAAAACTGAGACCCAGAAACATTATTGTTTGCCCAAGGTTATACATCTGGCAAACAACAGAGCCAGGATTTGACCTAGGCGTTCTGACTCCAGAATTTATTTTTTTAATGATTGAACTATGTATTTCATGTTTCATAATTAACCTGAAGATGGTTCATTCCATCAGTTTCCCTTATTCATAAAAAGTAGTTACTGTTCTTTTCATTCATTGTTTCTTTTTTCATTTCTTTTTTCTTGGTTTACGTACTTTTTTATTTATTTATATTTTTATTTTGTTCCTTTTTTATATTGGAAAAATTTTACACATACAAAAGTAGAGTAACGTAATGAACCCCGTCCAGAGTCAACAGTCAGTTATCAGTACCCACTCACCAGAGTCCCACCTGATTCTTTTCAAGCAAATCACAGACAATGTATCATTTCAGGATGTATATATAAAAGATAAGGATGACTTTAAAAACATAACGACAATACCATCATCACCCCTACAACCATTAACAATAATTTCTTAATATCACATAGCTTTTATGTTTCATTTGTATTTTATATGTTTTATTTTAGTTTATTTGTTCCAATTGGGACCCAAATACTGCATTTGTCTTTTTAAGTCATACCTTTTTTTCCTTTTTCTCTTATAGTTTATTTCAAAATAAAAATTTTTTCACATTCTGGACTTTTCCAATTGCAACCCTGTGGTATCATTTAATGTGTTGTTGTTTCTCCTTTATTTCCTGTAAACCAGTAGTTACAACTAGAGGCTTGATTAGATTTTAGGTTAGATTTTGTTTTTTTGGATTTTTTTCTGGCCAGACTACATGATAGCTGGTGTATACTACTTATCGCATCATATCAGGAGGCACACAATGCTTGTTGTCTTCTTATTATATTAAGATTTATCAGTGAGTTTGTGTGTCATCAGCCAATTATTCCATTAGAAACTTCCCCCATCAGCTTTTCACCTACTTATTTGAGCAGCCATTAATGGCCACTCATTGCCTAAATCCATTATTCATCAGGGGTGGCAAAGTAGCAATATTCTACATCTACCATACCTTCTACATTTATCAGTTGGAATTTGTCTAAAGAGAACTTTCCCATATCAACTATTGAGTTAACCTTATGTTATCTAGGAAAGACAGGATAAATGCTGGAAACTTTGTCTTTACTAGTTTTCGGATGAGTTGGTTTAGCTTCCTCCAACTATGATCAAGAGACTTAAGGAGATTAAAATAAAATGCAGTGTAATTTGGCCTAGCTCAGTGCTAAATATAGCCCCAGGCTAAATATAGCCTAGTAATATTTGCTGGTTGGTTTTGATCGATTGATTGAGAGGTGCCATTGGACCAGATCTTATAAAATGAGTTGGATAATTAGGGAGGCTCATCATTGTTTCGTGTGTATGTGTACATATACATATGTATATATATATTTTGAATATATCTTAAACATTTACCTGAAAGAATTCACCTAATTCATACTGTTGATTCCTGTACTTCCTTAAGATTTTGAGTGTATCTTGGATAAAAGAAAAAAACCTTTTCCTTATGGAAGCCATAATATAACTTTGGGAAAACTACCACAAATGCACTGCGAGTCAAATACTCAAATAGTTGGATCAAGGCTGCCACCAGGAGCTGAAAGGTAATTTGTTTCTTAGTTTTAGATTTTATCTAAATGTTAAATGTGGCATACTATAGTGAACTTAATTATCAAGGATGGATTGTAGTAGAATCTGTTCCTCATACTTCATGCATTCTACCTCTGTGCCTTTGCTTTTCCTGTGCCTTCTGCCTTAATGTCCTTCCTTCGCCTGTTCAAAGCAGTCTCTCTTAAAGTACTCACCTAGCTGTCCTCAACTGGACGTAGAGTGTCTTCTTTTGTGCTCCCATACCTCTACTTTTCTGATAGCACTTACTACTTCCTACACTGCTTTACAGTTACTTACTATAGTCACATATCATGTTCTCTCTTAGACTGTAAGCTATGTTGCTTTATCTTTGTATCCTTCACAGTGCCTTAGGTATAGTAGGTGCGTCATAATATATATTGGTGGGCCGACCCCGTGGCACACTCGGGAGAGTGTGGCGCTGGGAGCGCAGCAGCGCTCCCGCCGCGGGTTCGGATCCTATAGCAGTGCTCACTGGCTGGGCGCGGTGCAGCCGTTTAAAAAAAAAAAGGCCAAAAAAATAAATATATATTGGTCAAACAAATGGATGAAAGCAGGCAGATATTTACTATATTTGGTCTAAATTAATAAGTTTGTCATTAGTTACTAACTTATTGAGTAGAAAAATAACTTGGTAAACTCATTTGTATTCATTTGGTTTTTGTTAGTTTATAAAGAGATAATCTTTTTCCTGAAAGGCTTGTAATTATTCACTTTCTCATTTTGATTTTGGAAGTAAATATTTATTTTTATCTTATGTAGAATTGCTTTGGAATTTTTGGATTCACAAGCTTTTTGTAGAAATATCCCTCACTTAAAAGGAAAATCTGCTATGAAGAAAAGACATTTGGAAATTTTGGGATATCGTGTAATTCAGGTATGAAATACTCATGTAATTGAGCCTCTAAAAAGTCAAGAAAGGCTGGTGCTCGCTTCCTCTGCGGCCAGCCCATACTCTGCCTCTAGAGTGTCTAGTTCTTCGTCTTTTTTTTTTTTTAAAGATGACTGGTAAGGGGATCTTACCCCTTGACTTGGTGTTGTCAACACCATGCTCTCCCAAGTGAGCCATGGGCTGGCCCTAGTTCTTTCCTTTTGTATCAGACTTACTTTAGCAGGTGGCTGCTCACTCTATTGAGCCAGCCCACACTCTGTACTAATCGTTAGGTGTTTATTTCTCACTTTTGTGTTAAACTTGGGATGGGCCCTACTCAGTCTCTGGAGCTAGACCACACTCTCTCTGGGAAATCTGTATCTCTTATTTGTTACATTAAACCTGTTCTTACTTTCTAAAAAAAAAAAAAAGTCAAAAAACACAGCTGTACATGCGTTTCCTTTTTCCTTTTAACATGAAAGTTCCAAAATTACCTTTTTTTATATTAAAAAAGTTACATTAACATTTCTGAAATAGAACATCTTTTATTTTTGTAGAATAAGAAAAATCATCTTTTATTGTGTTTAGAAGATATGTTTTGTTTATTTGTCTTACAAAGGAAAGGGACACTATGGAAGTGGACAGAGTTATAAAAGAAAAAGGGTAGTGTATGAATGTAGAAGGGTATGCAGGAAAAAAACAAGCAATGTCGGTATTGTAGGAACAGGAGAAAGAAAGGAGTTGTGAGACAGAAAAAGGTCCTCAGGAGGAAGGACCTCCTTGGCTTCCAAAAAGGATTCAAAGGCTATGCTTACAGAAACTAATTTTATAGGGTTCCTGTAGCTTTACTCTATAGTTCTGATAAGTCTTCCCCAATGTGTTTTGTTGTTGCTTTAAAACTTTCATTGAAATCACATTACATATTTTACAGATCCCTCCTTTTGAGTGGAACTCCATGGCACTATCAACAAAGGATGCTCGGATGGACTACCTGAGAGATCACATATTTGGAGAAAGCAAATCATGATTGTAGTTTTTATGTGAAATGAGTTATCATGGTGTATCACATTTGAGCTTGTTTTGATTAAGTGACTTATTATAAATAACAGGTACAAATATCCTGGGGTAGGAACATGCCTAGTGTGTGAGAATAACAAGAGATCCAGTGTGGCTGGAGCATAAACAGTGGGGTGGGAGTATAATAAGAGAAAAGGAAAGAGATAACAGAGTCAAATATATACAACCTCATCGCTACTCTGAGATTAGAAGCCATTGGAGGGCTTCAAGCAAAGGAATGATAAGAACTCACATTTTAACTGCATCACGTCGGCTACCCTGTTGAGATGAGAAAAGACTGCTGTGGGGCATGTGTGTAAGAGGGAAACATGTTATAAGGTCATTCCACTAATCCAGGCAAGAAATGGATGGTAGCTTGGAGAGAGTAGTAGCAATGAAGATATTGAAAAGGGATCAGATTTTTTGATGTATTTTTCAGGTAGAGGCAACAGAATTTGCTCACAATTGGATATGAGTGTGAGAGAAACAGGAGTGAACAATAATTCTAAGTTTTTGTCCCGAGCACTAAAAGGATGTCATTACCATGAACTGAGATGAAGAAGCCTATGGAAAGAGCAAGATTGGTGGGGTCTGGGGAGGGTGGAGGGAGCATCATGAGTTTGTTTTAGACATGTTGTTGCCATTGTGATGCCTTTTAAACTTCTAAATGAGATACCAGATAGAGAATTGAATTAATGAGTTTGGAGATCAGGGGAGAAGTCTACGCTACAGATATATATTTGGAAGTTGTTAGCGGTATTTAATGCCATGAGACTAGACAAAAATCACATATGATGTGAATTAGAGAAGAGTATGAATGGAGGAGACTCTGAGAACTGAGCTCCAGGGCACCAGAACACTATGAGGTCAAGAAGAAGAGGAACCAGCAAAGGAGACTGAGCGGGGCTAGCTAATGAGGTAGGAGGAAAAGTGGAGGAAAAGTCAGAGAAGGTTGTAATCCTTCCTAATGGAGAAAGCATTTTGAGGAGGAGGAGGTCAACAGTTATATCAGATGCTGCTGGTAGGTCAGGTAGGATGAGGATTGGGAAACGTCCATTAAATTTAGTAACATGAGAATCATTGGTAACCTTGAAAAGAGTAGCTTTGATGAAGTAGTTGGTGGGTGGGAAAGCCTGATTGGTTCAAGAGAAAATAGGAGACATGACTTTTCTTCTAAATGGAAGCAAAGAAATGGGGTGGTAGCTGAGTGGATCAATCTTGACCTGGTCTGATTCTATGTTTGCTGAGGGAGTAGTGATTTTCCCTCTGTTTTACATTTATTTTAAAAAATGGTTGCTAAAGGATTACTGCCTACTATGTGATATAATCCCCAGCCCTTGTTCCAAGAATGATATATTTGTGCTCAGCAGGAAGCTGTACTGTAACTACCCTCAGGCCACCTGGTGGGGGTGGAGGTAATTGGCCATGTGAAACTTGGCTATTTTCTGACTCCATGACATCTAATTTCAGTCTATCCCCCAAAAAGCTGGTAGCCAGAGTGCCTTCAATCATAAGCATATTTTTAAAATGTGTGTTCTGCATGTAATTTGCTCCATTGATACTTGGCTTGGGCTTAGTTGAAGTACATGTTTAAAATATCCCATGACACTGCATGACCTAAGCCCCAGTACTCAATGATTTTGCAAAATGTGAACTTCACGGAAACTTTTGTGAAAAACAGAATCAGAATATTAAGCAAGTGAAAGATGTTTTCTTGTAACCAGTCTTCTCTCTTCTGAATTTTCTCATGGCATTCATTTATATTAATGGATATGCTAAATATGTGTTTAATTATCCATTTTCTTGAATGTGTTGTTTCTTGCAAATGAGAACAAGAACTAAATCCTTGAATAGGTTAAAATATTTTACTATGCAACTTTTAGAACAAAGTAGATTGATGAAGATTATAAATTGTTTCCTTTGGAAATAAATGAAAATCCAGTTATTGTATACTTGAAGTACGTGGAAATCTTGATTAAATGGCCCTGATGTCCCTTTCACAGATTGTTACACATAATCTAACATCTCGTGTACAGATCTCTTACTCTCCTTTCTCCAGGCTGCCTGATTCAAATGGTTTTTTATATATATACACATATATATTTTTTCTTTATATACATACACATGTATTATATTAAACTTTTATTTGATGATTTTTCTATCTAAACTGAGATTGTTATAAACAAAAACACTTTTTCATTGAAATATAATTCACATACCATAAAAATCCACCCTTTTAAAATGTATTATAGTTCAGTGGTTTTAGTATATTTGTGCAACCATTACCACTATCTAATTCCAGAACATTTTCATCATTCTCAAAAGAAACCCTGTAAAAATCATTATTTTTAAAAATTAATCTCATGTCTATATAGATCAGCATTCTCTTTCCCAAAGTAACCTCTATCTTGATTTTATAGTGAGCACTTTAAAAAACTTTTTATTTTGTGAGCACTTCTTTGTACAGTTTTATCACCCACGTGTGCATCTCTGGATAACATAATTTCCACCACCTTTTAAGTCTGTCTTTGTAAGCATCCCCCTCCATCCCTTCTCTTTCTAACAGTTTATCGGTTGAAGAACCTGTAGAATTTCCTACCTTTGGGATTTGTTGATGTGTAGTCATGGTATAATTCAGAACAGTATTTTTCAATATAGAAAACTAATCAGGATTCTACTAGATCCAAAATAAAACTGACTTTGGTTGACTATATTTCCATATTTATGGTAGAGAAAATAAAGCTGGACGAACACTTATCTGTTCTGTATAAACTGCTTGACAAGTAATCATGGAATGCTCCAAATTAGTCCCAAGTCCAGTTTCTCAGAAAATAATGTGTAAGGATAGAAGTCAAATATATATCTATGAGGCTGGCTGGTTAGCTCAATTGGTTACAACATGGTGCTGATGATAAAACACCAAGGCCCAGGGTTTGATCCTTGTACTGGCCAGCCACCAAAAACCAAAACCAAACAAATATATGTCTATAAAAGCTATGCGAGACCTATAAGTTGGCGTGTGGCTAAGAAAATGATTAGTTGATGACCTGTATAGGGTTGAATGTTATGGTTATGGACAGACTGAGGAGTCAACTCACTATATACACTAAGAAGAAACAGTTAATGTAGGGCTTCACATCCCAGAACATGGAATAATACAATCACCTTTCTTGCTATCAGAAATTTAGCAAATAGGTAGCCTTTTCATGGAAACCTTGTATAGCAGAAATTTAAACCAGTTAATACACACCCTCCACATCACCCACTGTCCCTAACTTCTGCCCCAGCAGTTTAAAGAGTCAATCCATTTACTGAGGATGCTCCCCAACGCTCTTGCTGTAGATGCTGTTGTTAATGGCTTGAAGACTATGATTTATTGGTTTTTATATTTTTTTAATTTAAAATTTTGATTGAAAACTACAAATAATATGCCAGTGTCGCAAAAAGAATGGAGAAAAAAGAAAGGCCATGCGAAGTTGACTACTTTTTACTTAGAGACTCTTCCTGTTCAAATGAGACCCATTTATTATATTCCTTAAGTAGCATTTCTGAAGTCTTCTTATGGCATGTAATCTTTAATAAAATGCACAGGGTTCCTGTCATAGCTTGAGGCATGAGGAAATGTTTTTGATTTTTGAACATTTTTTAAAAATATAGATGTACATATCTCTCCAATGTCATTTGTAATAGAAAATGAGTGTACAGGCACTCTAACTGCAAATGAAAGGATTAGTAAACAACTAGAATTTAGGAAGCTCCTTTAACAATCCATTGAGTAAGACAGATAAATAATTTGTTTAACTGAATAATTTCTTATTAGAAAATAATTTTAAGCTCTGATCATTACACTGAAGAGTCAATGACTTTGAGGTTTTGATACCTACCCGCTGCTCACCTGTTAGACAATAATTTATTGAATAATTTCTACATGAATCTCTGTACAGGCTTTTAAAAAACAGAAAAATTAAAGACCTATTCTCCAAACAAGCCACTTCCCAATCTATTATATTTTGTCACCTCATTTATAATTTAGACAGTTTGAAGAGATTCAAACGTGTTGCTAGGCAACTAGCTCCTGAAGCATAACGTATTTCCTTCAACATCCCAGCCCATTCTTTTTTGTCATCTTCATACCTGATGGAGGAAAAAAAAGTAATCAATAAGCAGCTTTTAAGTAGGGACTTCTATAGGTGTCCCTGTGTTCAGTATACAAATGTAGGTCTTTGGAAAAAACCCTACTGGCTCTTACCCAGAGGAGGATATACCTGCCTGGTAAAATAAGACTTAAATTCTTTCCAAAATATGCATTTTCTGAATGAGCATGTGCCTGAAGTATTGCCACAGTATTTAATCTGGATGCCTAGGCAGTTCAGCCTTCTCTGGGAACTGAAGACTGTCCAGAGAAGAAGAGTAATAGGTAGCTAAGCAGTTAATCATTCACCTTTGGACTGATGGAGATGGCTGTCAATGAGTCAAGGTAAGCAGACTTCTTTAAGAGTAAGAACTGGGGAAGAGCAGGTAGCCTCAATTATGATTTCAGTTGTTCCCATACACTAGTGCCCAGCACGGCCTCTGATACATAGTGGTCACTCCTAAACATTTCTTTCACTTTGCCTTTAATGTTATGTTTGAGGACTACTCTTAGACTTTGTAATTATCATTAGTTAAGAACTGGTCTTAATCTCTGAATATTCGAGGTTATAAAGATACAAACAACTTGAATTCCCTTGAAACATGTGCCTAACATGTCTCCTCTGCCTGGCACCTGTAATGCTGTCCTCCCTCTGTGTGGGAAACTCCTAAACATTGCCTGCTTTCTCTTCATTTCTCACATAGTCCTTTATATAGCTTATGATAGCAAATAACAACAAGCCCAAAGGTATTTGAGGACAAGTATTATATCTATCTGCCTTAAGTATCTTCTCTCCTCCAGAAGCTCTCAATACTTGGCACAGAGGAAATACCCTAAATCATTCTATGATGAATGACTGAGACTTAAAGTAATAATTATTAAAGGTAGTTGGTACCTACGTAAGATATGCACTGACTTAATTTCCTCAATGTTCCGAATTTAATTATCATCCACAATGATTTTCATGTAGAGGAAAGTAGACAAAAAATATTTTACCACTAATACAGGCAAGAACCTTAATTATGTAAAAGGTGGGGCAACAAGAGATAACGCCCTAAAGAACAAGTGACCACATTTAAGCAATAGGAGGTTTAAGTTAAGTGAGGCTTAATGTTTGCTTCCTGGACGTTTGATTTTTACTTTCCACTTGGTCAATCTTAAATAATGGAATGATTTCAAGAAAAAAAAATACAAGAATGGAAATTTTTTTTACACATCACAGTAAGTAGGTCTATAGAGTTTTCATCTCTTTGAATGTGTGGATAGAGAGGTTCACTAGGAAGTGGAGGACAAGTGGGCAGCCATCTTTATATCAGTGGCTTTCAACTTTAGCACACAATTCAAGTCACCTGTAGGGCTTGTTAAAACAGATTTCTGGGCCCTGGAATTTCTAATTCAGCAGGTCTGAGGTGAGGCCTTAGAATTTGCATTTCTAACAAGAACTCAGGTGATGCTGAAACTGCTCTGGGAACCACTGTAGTAGATGTCTGGTTCTCAAACTTGACTGTACAATGGAACCACCTGGAGATGTAAAAAACACTGATGCCTGGGTCCTATCCCCAGAGATTGACTTAACTGGTATAGAGTGTTGTCTTAGCATGAGGATTTTTTAGCTTCCCAAGTGATTCTAATATGCAGCAAAGTTCGAGATTCATTGCTCCAGATATTACCCCAAATTGAGAAATAACATATCTAAGGTTCTATAGCCAATCCTCTTTCCCCAATCCACTTGTTCCCAAATTTGTCTGCACAAATAGAATCATTCAGAGACCTTTTAAAATTTCCAAAGCCCAGACCATACTCCAGACCAATTAAATCCCAATCAATAGGGGTGGGACAGGGCTGGCCCGGTGGCGCACTGGATAAGTGCGCCGCTTGGGAAGAGCGGCGGCGCTCCTGCCCGAGGGTTCGGATCCCACATACAGACCGGTTCCCGCTCACTGGCTGAGCGAGGTGCGGGAGCAACACCGAGGGTTGCAATCCCATTGCCGGTCCCCGGTCCGGTACGGGGGCAACACTGAGGGTTGCGATCCGTTGCCGGACACGGAAAAAGACAAAAGACAAAAAAAAAAAAATAGGGGTGGGACAGAAATGTTAGTACTTTTTTTTTTTTTTTTTTCCCCTCTCTCTGACTGGGTAAGGGGATCGCAACCCTTGGCACAGCATTGTCTGCACCACGCTCAACCAGTGAGCACACCGGCCATCCCTATACAGGATCCAAACCCGTGGCCTCGGTGCTACCAGTGCCGCACTCTCCCGAGTGAGCCATGGGGCCAGCCCAAGATGTTAGTACTTTTTAAAGCTCCTTGGTGATTCCAATGTGCCGGGAAGTTTGACCACAGTCAGAGAGGGTCTGTCTTTCAGGTTGCCCTCAGCAATGTAAGGGCCACTTCTTTCAGGACATGCTGTATTTTCCTTTCCTGCTGAGGCAGTATGGCTTTTGACTGCCATTAAGAATCATGGTGACTCTTCTGAGGTTCAGCTCATTGACAGCACAATTCTTTATCAGTATTTCTCAACCCTGGCTGCACATTAGAATCAACTGGGAAGGTTTTAGAAAATAGTGATGCCCAGACCCTATCTCCAGAAATTCTGAGGTACAAGTTGGCCTGTGTTAAGGGCCAGGCACTGGTGTATTTTAAAAGCATCCCAGGTGACTGTAATGTATAGGCAGGGTTAAGAATATCACTGCTTATTCACCCTTTCACATGGCCCTGTTTTCCAAAAACCCTAACCTTCCCAACCCTCCATTATTTCATCCCTTTCTTCTACTGCTTTCAGCTTTTCCCCATCTCAAACTTTTGCTAATTCTGGCCTC